AATAAAATAAAAAAGGGTGATGTTTGGAATATTTTCTGGAAAAACGAATTGATCAATGGTCAAAATAGTTCTACAATTCTGTCAATGAACTAATCAAATTGAGCTCCAGTACCAATAGTGAAAACTCATAACATGCATGTTATCATACGGAGTAAAAGCAGAATGAATGGAGACTTACCTAATCTGCTGCTGAGACATGGTGAGTTTGAACTTGTGAAGTGAAGATAGGAAGTGTTCAGTCGAAATATAGATCCAAGCGTTCTTCAGTCAAATCAACAAGAGTCCTAGACAGAGGTAAACAGAAGGAGGTTACTCACTAATACACGAGCAGGAGTACTCGGAGTACATGTACACAGAGCTTAACCCCACGCACAGCACAGGCTTTGGTTTATCTTTGCAGCACAGGGTCACGCGACCGTGATGAAGCTACTTGCAACATGAGTAGTAGTGCAGGCCGTGGGCGTGGCTAACTCACATACCGGAACGCCATATATGGACATTACCGCCTTTCATACATTCGTGATAACGTTTGGTGATTAAGAGTTAAGAGGCTGAAATGTTCAAGTAACACGAAGGCGAGCGGCAGTGAACTTGGATGAACTTCGACGTGAACTGAGTTTTATGGGATAACGTCGATGTAAATAAGAGAGGAAGAAACTATGGGCAAAAAAAAAAAAAAAATTAAGTTTAAACGCATTTCAGATCAAAAGGTTCCGCGCGGAGGTATCTTCTATTGCATAAAAACAAACAAAAACAGTTATACGTATATAAAATAAATATTTAAAACCAATAAAGCTGTTATTCACAGTTAAATAAGAAGCTCAGTTTCATAAGGTTAGCAAGGCGGCCTTAGCTGAGATACCCATTCAGAACAATACCGTCAGTGAAAGCGAGCAACTTAACCGCTTTAAAACGCATACTGAATTACTTAAACATAGATTAAAAGCATTTCACTCACCGGAAGATTGTCTTGAAGTTATTCTTTAAGATTGTTTCGAGCTGTTTAAGTCTGCTTCTGTCTGCTCCTCCGGTCCCTTTCGCTATTATAGCTCTGAGTAGACAGACTGGAAATTTCCATTGACTTTTAAGCGGGGTGGGGGGCGGGCTCACACGACCGTTGAACTACAACCAATCACCGATTAGCTTAGTGTCATACTCACAGTTGATTGGCTGAGTTTGACCGCCCCTTTTTATTATTGGCGGATAGACCGATCAATCAAACTATCCACCAATCACATGCTTGCAAAACTGGTTATGGGGTGTAAGAAGAAAGAAACCATTGTTTGACGGACATTCTTTCAATTGCTATGACCACAAAGTTAGTATGGTTACAAATGCCTGTGGTTATAGGCATGTTTTAGCATAATTTAGGTGAAAGGGGTCAGGGCACTGTTTCCCAAAAGGATCTTATGGTTAAGATGATCTTGGTCCCATTGTAAGTCTGTGGGCTAAGATCATAATGGCATTAAGAGTGATCTTAATGCCATTACCTTCCTGGCTACACTAGTGGGATGACATCATTATGATCTAGTCTATTCGGGTGCATAAAGGTTGGTTCTAGTGGTATAAAGTTACAAAATACATTACTAAATACACTAATGTACTAAGGTGTATTGAAGTACAAGTTTGACTTCTACTCCACTAGACTTAAGACTGAAATATTATACACAATACTCCACTACATTTGTCTGACAGCCATAGTTGTTTAAAGTACTACAGATTTAGATTTTACATGCAAAAAAAATAATCAGTTTATAAAATGTGGCACATTGTCAACAAACAGTTTGCCACATAGTCACAATTAGCTCCCTCTTGACTTGTTACAACATGAAAGTGCTGCTTACATGTTACTGCACCAGTACTACTAATAAAGTAATGAATATAATAACATATATAAACAATATACAGCATTTTCTGATAATACTTCCAAACTTTTACTAAAGTTTTAACTGCAGGGATTTTTCTTTGTAAAGGAGTTTCTTAAAATTGTGGTTTTTTTTTTAAATATTTCTATGTAAGCAAAGTATCTGAATACTTGTTCCACCACTAGTTGGTCCTTATCTCTGCTATCCCTCAGTAGAATGAGTTTCACCCCATTGTTGAGGTGTCCTCGAGGAAGGCACCCATTCTACTGAACACACAGGTGTGCTTGTGTGCCACTGTGTGTATAAGAAGCAGGTTTCACTTGAAAGGGATACCAGTTTCAATTCACCGTGGATAAATGCATGGTTAATAAAGTATTGCAGTGGTAAGAACATCATGCACTAACTCTTGTTTGTGTTGCATCAGGAACAAAAGGTAGCGTATTGAATTACTCAAAGGGATTTTCCTGGAGTTAGACAGACCTTCTGGTAAATTCTACTGAATAGGTTTCAAATGCAGAGGCTCACAATACCAAGTATTAGCTGCATGCTATGGAAATTACAGGGTGGATGCCAAAGACAAGAGGCCTCTTGTTATTGGCAGTGAAAGTGGTTAATCTGAGATGATGGTGTTAAATGTGTAGACACATTCCTAGGCATTGGGAACCTATCTCTCACTGTTCAGACATGACTCATGCTGAAAAGTTGTGTAACAGTGGGTGGTACGGATGATTAGCAAGTCATGTATGCAGCTTTGCATAGGCAGCCTCTCATACTTGCGTAACTATTCTGCTCTATTTATATCTACCTGGGTTGTTTAATCAGTATGTATTTTATCTTTATTTAAATGTCTTGTTTTCTTATGTGAAGAATCAGGAATCAGATAATCAGGGTTCACGTTAACATTCATTACAAATTATTGTCGACGCCAAAGAAGGAGCAATGACTGGTTTATAATTAATAGTTATGGACAAGTTTGTACATGTTCAAGATCTTAATATCAGCTGCATGATTCAAATGTTCATTTGAAAACCTAGATTAAATATCAACAAGATTGGTTCTTAAGATAATTTACAGTATTTATTATTAAAGCAATGCTAAAACTGGAACTACTGTTACAATAAATGTTACAAACATTGTCTGTACCTCTCCATCTTCTCTTGTGGATATATTATCTGGCAATAATAGCAAACTGAAACAAACAAAATTGTTATTATTTGTTGCAACAGTACCAATCAGGTCTAGCTGACTAATGCTACGAGCTCTGTTAGGCTGTACTTCGGCACAATGGTCCTGGGAACTAAATGCTAACACATTTTAGCATGTTATCACTTGCTACTTGGCAGTGAACATGAACTTTAGCAGTGCATGATGGGATTTGCAAGTGTTTGGTCATAAACCAAAGTATTCAACAAATTAAAGCTGGTTGTGACCGTTAAGGAAAAGTCAGGGGATCACCAAAGTCATACGAACACATTATCCGGACACTGCGAATACATTTAATCACTAAATATCACTAAAATAAAAAATGTCAACCTATTTGTGGCACTAAAGTTGGGGGATCACCAAAGTCTGTATTCATCCAGTAGTTGTTGAGATATTTCAGTCTAGACTGAAGTGGTGGGCGGACCGACCAGCCGGCTAACATGGCTAAAACATTTCTCGCATTTTTTCTAGTTGAATAAACACAACACAAACAAAAGTGTTTGGTGGTCGGTATGTGCGTCACATAGCTGGTTCTGTTGGAGTGCTGATGGAAGCAAATTCCACTCCATCCACTGCTTTATCCATTAGGGTATTAGTGGTTTCAAAACACCACCACACAGGGAATTTTAGCTGGGCAATTCAAACCATTGTGCCATATCAGTCAGATGATTTCAGAGTCATATCAGGTCAACCATTGGTATAACCACATAATTAACCATCCAGTCAGATAGATTTATGAGTAATATGAGTATAGCATGTTTTTTGGAACATTCACAACATGAAAAAACAAATCTATTCCAATACATTGAATATGCAAAATATAACGCTTAAAAACACAGCGGAATTATCTATTTACTATAATGAAGGTGTGAGGGAGTATAAAACAATAATATTAACCCACTTCTAACTGATATACACAACGACATAAATGATAAACTACTACAAACAGTGGATATAATACTCCTCCATTTTGTGAGCTGACTGCTTGCAAGGTTAAACAGAGTGTCAGGTTGTCAGAGGTTGTACAAGCTTCCTTGAGGTTATAAGGGCTCAGCATTTTACAAACTGGTTTTCTGTCCAAACTCTCCCCCATACAGTCAACTGGATCTCATCTAGCTCATTCAACTTCTGCCCCCAAGACACCTCCCCTCAAGGTTGATTCAAGGTGCATAGTTTTATAAAGCATGAGTGGCACAAAGACTTTATATGGGGAGTTATGGGTATGATTATCACCCCCTGACTAGATGAAAGTGACATGGTCTCTTTCTATAAGAGGACAGTTCTCCTTGCACATTGTGCCGCCGTACCTTTATGTTTTGTTGGCCTTTAGTTCACCAGCTCTTAATTCTATTTCATATTTCACTCTGATTTCATTCTGATCAAAATGTGAAAAGCTGTCAGAACTGCATACAGTGACTGTCTGAGCCTAATAGAAACGTTTTTTATCCCCACAGAGGCACTTCAGTATAGAAACTGACAAAAGAATGCTGTGATATACAGAATTTAAAATGAGGAGATAAGAGAGCAGTGTCGCTGAGATCCACATGATGGATTTATCATACATTCTCCCACTCTGAACTGCTGAGCTATTAATAAGCTCCAGCTGTCTTCCCAAATTCCCTGTGTGACTGGCAAACTGCAAAACACATAAACTCTACATGGGCTGAGATAAAATAACAGTTAACTCACACTGTAAATTTGGTGTTTTGGTAACTTCGTGCCTAATCTTTGTGGTTCGACATCCTCCCCGATAATCCATTTAATAAGGTGTGTCAACAATCATGTGCCTTCCAGAATGACTCCTGAGGTAAATATAGCATCCTGAGGTGACATTGTGGAGCGTCATGGCCTCGTGTTTGTTATGTTGCAAACAGAAAGCTACAGACCGTCAGACGCAGGATGTGATTAAGTGAAGCACAGCTTAGCCAGAGAGCTATTTAGAGACATCACTTTAATTGAGTTCCATTCAGAGTATCCCTTTCAGAGTAAAGTCCGGGAGTCACACACAGACATGAGTGTACAGGAAGATAAATAAGGGAGCTGACAATAACAAAGACCAGGATCATCCCCCCTTCCACCCCCTATAGTAAACTGAGAAGCTGCAGCACGGACAGGTTGGGCAACAAAGGCAAAATAAAACAGACTGGTACAATAGGTAACAGCACAGACAGTGCATATATCACTGTGTCCGTCACACGCTACAGGATAATGTGTCTTCTCAAAACATCCATGGATCATGCAGTTACAGCTTTGCAAACTGAACAAAAAAAAAAAGAGACAGGCTGAGAATGATAACAGATGAATCAGAAAGGGATCATGTAGTTGGTTTGGCCGGGGTAAGGGTAGAGACGTCTGACTGGTTTGGTACACCTAGTTCCGTCCACGCTGGCCCTGTGTGCGCACTCATCGCTGTCAGTCCTGCAGGCACCGCAGTGGCAGCTGAGAGCCACCGGGTAGGTGAACATGGGGTTGGCGTCGAGGGGACAGCCGGGCAGTATGGCCGTGCGGTATTCCACCTTGTCGTAAGTGCAGCCTCTCTGGATAAGGAAGCGTGGGCCGAGTATATCCCTCATGTTGCTGTCCTGCTCACCATACACAAACACATAAATACACTTATAATATATTTTAATTGCTTAAGAGGAAAAAACTTTATTTGGGATGCTTGTTTTCAACTGAAAAAAGGGACCAGAATAGTTTCATTTTTAAGTCCCAATTAGAGGCAGGTCCCCTTTACTAGCCTGGTGTGGTTACAAAATTTGACCAATAAGACAATTTAATATCAATTAGACGCCTGGTTTGGATTTTATAAAAATTCTTTTGATGTATAAAACCTTTTAAAGCCAACCAGGGTCGCCTGCTTGAGCGAGTTCCAAGCTGCTTAGATCACCTACACAAATACTCACTGTTTGATCTGTTTGATTCTCCAAAATCAATCAGTAAAATGTCATGTCATAGAAGACTTTCTCTTCTTCCTCTACTGTTTGTTGGGTATGCTTTTTTTCGTTACCTTGCTGGCTACAATATCTAAAGTAGGCTACCGGAATTAAACGTCAGTCCCAAATATAATGACAGCAAAAACGTCTTCTTTTTTAAACATTATAACAACATTAAAAATTTTCTGTTATAATATATATTGAATCAAAATACCCAAAATGTATTTTACTGTAGATTTTAATGGGAATAATTCTTACTCAGAAATGCCATTTTTCTAAAAGATAACCTATGTTTCACTCTTTTCCCTTATGATTTTACATCAGTACATATGCAATTAAACTGTATTATCTTATATAGAAAATACTTAAAGTGAATATAATAGTTCAATTTGTTGGTACCTTCAATTTACACTGTTTAACACTTTTGTTGGAAATGTTTTCATGAATAAAATTCTTGATCTAGTTGATTCTTTCCAGCCAATCAGAATTGAGAATTGTCATTGGCCATGGTATAAACTTGTACTGCTCTTCCACCCCAAAGGACATACATACCCTTGAGTAGCAAAATCCCATGCAGATGGTAGTGTTGATGGCCACACAGAAGTCACACTCTGGCCTCTCCACATACAGGGTGAAGTCAGTGGGTAAACACATAGGAACAGCTGGACTGAACAGCAGGAAAAGGAGCCAGCAGCTGAACACTGCAGTCTCCATGTTAAGCAATGTTATTTTTTCCCCACAATTAATTTAGGACCTGCATGAGGAAGGAAAGATAAAGAGACAAACTGACAACCAGATAAAAGAGAGGATCAAAAGTTTGGCATCTTAAATATTATTCGTTCTCCTCTGCATGTGACAGTTACCTGCTCAAGAGATGCTGGCTCATGCAGGCCTGATGATGATGCTGTGAGGCAGAACATCCCTGCTGAACAGTATTTATACCAACATTATATAATCCACCTTTACCCAAACTAGCCGTTATCTTCTATCTGTGACGGAAAGGAAGAAATTAACTTTTGGTCCATTATGTGGATGACATGAATTAATGATTTCCTTCATGAACAAAGTTCATGCAGTAACCAAGGAAATGGACTCAATGGGTTCTGCACCAGCTGTGCAGCTCTGAGAAACTCTGTCCAAAGTAATCTAAAGCAGTGTCCACTAGATGTCACAAAATGCCCAGAAGCTTGATTTCAGCTAGAAAGAATGCATGATTTTAAAAGAGACTCTCAGACTCTAAGAGGTTTACTTCCTTTTCCAAAACAAACTAATCTGTCTCTCATTTGAGTAAAAATTAACTGAAGAAAAAGCCTTTTTCCCCACACACAGCTTTCTGAATGTGCATGTCCAAATAATGCTTTGTGCACCATTCAGCAATGTCAGTTCCCAAGATGTCACAGTCCAATCTTGTACTGAACACGGGCAGAAAACATTCAGAGCAGGTTTATCTAATCTGCTCTGCTAGTAAGTAAAATAAAAAATGCTGCAGTAGATCAGCATTTATCTCTAAACACCAAATTCTTCACACAGACTTTAAGCTACTGACATGTCAGTACTTTGACTTGAAAAGTCCTTATCTATATTTTTGTTTAATGATTGACGAGCATCGTCTCAATTGTCATGCATGTGATTGTTTGTAATGTCATTCTTGCTTTTGCTTTTATCTCCTCTTTATTTATTGTTCAATAGGATTCCTACAGACAAACACACAATTCTCTTAGCATTCCTGTTGCTGTGCCATCTCACAAACACATTGGACAGACTCTCTTTTCTCTTCTTCTCTTTCATTTCAATCACAGGACCTCTCACTGAAGTTAAGTCCACATCTACAACTGTTATCTTGTACAATGCACATGGCTGACGTGTTGTCACTCTGCAGTAGTGACTACATCCAGCGAATAGGGAAACATGCTCAGGAAGACTATACAACACTGTGAAAGCATAAACAGTATAGTGTAAGTTCAATGTCCATTTTAGCCACTCATTCCTTCTCCTCAGCTCTTACTACTCTTTACAAACATTAACAGTAAGTGTCATTTTACATTAACTTTTGAAGATTTCACTGGAACTGATGCTCTCGTAAAGACTCACTTGAATGAAATCAACCATAAAATCTCTATTCATTGGATTACTAATAAGTTATCACACTTAATATATGTTATTATTATTATGTAAAAGTCCCTGCCCAAAGCTTACACATACTTTTTCTTTCTCATCAGCAATATTTTCTTTTACTGTAGTCGTCACTTTTCTCCCACTGACACGTGTTTTTGAGTTTAAAATGACATGCTTTCCTATGCATCACTGGATACAAGATACAGAAGTGCTAAATGAAGCTTTAGTTGTCACATGTGTGTAACCTGCCCTGCCTCCGGAAATTCCTCACATAATCAATAACTACTGAGTAGCCTGGAGTTGTATAAAGACCCACAGTGGATGTGTCACTATGTCACATCATTACATAAGGAATCGAGACATCATGATAACATAAAGTCTCTAATTTGTCATCAGAACAGAACACAACCTTAACAACACCACAGGATCATCACCTTTTACAATCACTGGCTGACTTCAGTACTGCGTGTCCTTGATAGATTATTAACTTAAGTGAACTAATCTTTATAGTCTTCCGAAAGCATCAGAGTGAACTGGACTCCTGCCACTTGCAGCTGAAATATCTCATTCCTTTTACAATTAGTTGGAGCAACTCTGATAACTGATTGTTGGATTGGCACAGCCGAAGAGGACTAAAACTTGGATTTTTCTGTTCTTTGTTGAAGGTTTGAAGGGAAGCTTTCAAAATGAGTGCAGCTGATGACTGACAGTTGACTGAGTCTGTCTTTAGTGTGTATTCTGGCTGTTGGTATTGGTATATGTGACGATTTCAGGATCATTTGGAGGGAAGAGAATTAAATGTTGAATATTGCATAAGACAGAAATTTCTTGACGACAGTTCAGAGAGAAGTGTTAGTAAAAGGAAGCTACTTCTGCTGAACTAAACATGGTGGGTACAGGTGGTCCAGTGGCCACTTTCTCTGTGTGGGATTATGTTGTGTTTGCTGGAACAATTTTGGTTTCAGCTGGTATCGGCCTTTTCCAGGCCATTCGAGGCCGTAAGGAGACCAGTAGCGCTGAGTTCTTGCTAGGTGGACGGCAAATGACAGCTGTGCCAGTTGCCATGTCGCTCACTGCCAGCTTCATGTCAGGAATCACAGTCATTGGCACACCTGCTGAGGCCTACAGGTTTGGGGCTGCATTCTGGACCTTCGGCTTCGCCTATGCCATCATGTCTGCCATCACTGCTGAGATCTTTGTCCCACTTTTCTACAGACTGGGGATCACCAGTGCCTATGAGGTGAGGAAGTGATTATAGCGGTACAAAGGCTAGCTCACATGTGCAGCAGGAAATGAGTTAAAATGTAAAGATCAATAAAGCAAGTATGGTTTATTGGAAAGCTACAGAAAGCAAAGGCGGTTTAAAATGATCAGGGGTACACGAAGGTTGTACAGAATACAACAGCTATAAAAGTATTTCCTCCAAAAAAACCACCTTTCACATTATGTAAATGTGGATATATTAACTAAACCACTGTGTATGAACCAAATCATCAGTTCAATGATGTCTGACTAGTTCTCCTTTTCCTTTTTAGTACCTGGAGATGCGATTCAGCCGGCCTATTCGGCTAATTGGAACATCAATGTACATCGTGCAGACGGTAACTAAACATGCTTTTATCTAACAGGAATATTCAATGACTTTTTGTATTTAGATAATTAAAAACAAAAGTAGCAAACCCTGAAGAATGGAACAAACATCCATAGTTAGCATGGGAAATGTGACATGGCAAAAAGCACCTGTCTTAGTTCTTTTTGACTTTATGTAAAAACTGATTCTTGAAACCAACTCCAAGATTAATATGAACCACATGCTTGTTGTGTTTCCAGCTAATCAACTAATGGTGGCCTCTTTTCTCAGGCCCTGTACACTGGGTTGGTCATCTATGCTCCAGCTCTTGCACTAAATCAAAGTAAGTCTATAATGGCAGCAACAGTTCTGAATAAAATGAAGTTAGGTACCTTTGCTATTGTCGATTTGTGACTTTCCACCTTTGCCTCTCCTGTCTACTTCTTCTGGACAAGAAACCTCTGGACAAAAAGGGTAGGGTTTTTTTCCAGTGTGCAGCCTCACTTAATTGTAGTTCAACCTTCAACCTGTAGTGTTCAGTCTAACATCTTTATAATGATCTATTTTATGATCCATTTTGTCCTGATAACAGTTTCTATATTACTGGTAGAGTTGTTAAAAAAAAACGATACAGCTGTTTCTTTCTTTCATGTTTATCTTAATCACAGTTTAAACCTTAAACAAAGAGGTGACCACGTGTAACAAGGAAAATGTATCGTTAGTGCCAAGTTACAAACATGGATATGTACACAATTTCAGAGAGGTTATGGAGACTTACGGAGGCTTTAAGTTACTAAAACCGGCACGTTGTTATGTCTCAAGAGGCTTATTTTGATTATATGAATCATAATGGTGCTTTTTATGTAATTACTCAGTCACAGGACTCGACCTATGGGGAGTGCTGGTGGCTACAGGAGTGGTCTGCATCATCTACTGCACTTTGGTTGGTACAGTGCATGTCAAAGAGTATCATGTATTATATTGAATGAATTATCTGCATAACAAACAGACTTGTATTTTAAACTGTTAAACTAAAAGGTTCATTATATTACACCTATTTTAGTTTGGGGTTAATGAAGCTGTCTGATCTGCTTATGAAACTAATGAGAGTTATTCTCTGCATTATAATAACATTACAATAACCTTCCACTATCACTAAATTGGAAAGACTGCATAAAGGTACTAAGATACGGTGGCTCTAACGTGGATTTTGTTTCAGGGCGGCCTGAAAGCAGTAATCTGGACAGACGTGCTGCAGATGGTGATCATGCTGGCAGGTTTTGTGGCTGTTATAGCTCGAGGAGCTGTACTGCAGGGAGGCCTGGGGAAGATTTGGGAAGATGCTGGTCAAGGAGGCCGACTAGAGGCATTTGAGTACGTACACAAGCAGAGTTATTATAAGTTTTAAACTCATTATGATACCAGATGGGTGGGGCTTCCTGATCAGAGAAATTAATTTGCCACAACAGGAAAAGGAAATTCAATCAACTTTTCCATAATTGTTATATGTAACTCTTAATTGCTCTAGAATCCAAGGAAGGAGACTTGAATAGCAATGATGCCTCCTTATTTCCTCAATAGTGTCATCCCACATTATTAGAAGTTTGTACTGTTGACCTTCAATATTCCTTCATGTTGTTGACTTTTATCCCAGTTTTGACCCAGATCCTCTGAAGCGACATACTTTCTGGTCCATTACAATCGGTGGCAGCGTGATGTGGACGTCCATCTATGCAATCAACCAGTCCCAGGTGCAACGCTACATCTCCTGCAGAACCTTGGGACACGCCAAGATGTGAGCGTTCCTGCTATGACAGTATAGTATTGGCTAAGAGCGAAGGTTCATGCACTGACAAGTCTTCTAACATCTCCCAGGTCTCTGTATGTGAACATGGTTGGCTTGTGGGTAACTGTGAGTCTGGCTGTGTTTTCTGGCCTCACCATGTTCTCCATTTACAAGAACTGTGACCCACTTACAAACGGCGATATAAGCACCCCTGACCAGGTAACTGCAGCTGCAATTCTTTACTCATCATTACATGGGTGTCATGCTGTTTGACAAGCATTAGGAGTGAAAATGCTTTACATTTGTAAACTAGCTGCTGCCCTACCTCGTGATGGATATACTGGCAGCCTATCCTGGAATCCCTGGCTTGTTCGTGGCTGCTGCATACAGTGGCACCCTTAGGTGAGGCCTGACACAAACAAGGAAAAAGGGAGTTATAAGAAGCTGTGTTGATAAGATAGTAGACACGATAAGATGGTAAGGAAGAATGAACTTGCAATACCTGGCTTATGCTGTTTCCTGCGAAAAGTCCACATTGTTGTTCCGCTGAAAATTGAGCAAGTTATTGTTGCACTTTCATTTCTAGTCATTTTATTTATACATAATGCCAGAAACAACCACCTACGTGCTACCTGATAATCTTATATGTGATCTAATCTGCCACTAAATGCATCAACCTTTCCGTTCTGTTCAGTGACTAACAGCTTACCCTTTCGTATTTTTCAGCACGGTGTCTTCCAGCATTAATGCCCTCGTTGCTGTCACTATGGAAGACTTTATTCTTCCACTGTGTAAAAACCTCACAGAGAAACAGGTGACCTGGTTGAACATGGGGCTGAGTAAGTTGTGTGTGAATTATTTTTACAGTAGCCCAAGAATACATTAGAAAAGGATAAAGTAAAAAAGCCACCACATACTACTGAGGACAAACTGTTCGAGCAAAAACACTCACATAGTACGTTCTGATGATGAATACCACAGTAGTCACTATACACTATGACTCCTATTACTTCCAGACTCACAAGATACCAACAGACCAAGATAACCATTATCTTATCTTGTTATTCTTAGCAGGTAATTTAGCCTGTTTCAAATTGCCCTGTATGAGTCAGGACATGATCAGGATAAGTTAAAGGTAGATATTGTATTGCTGTTGTCTTAATCTTGTTTATCCAACGACAAAATCAAGTCATTACTTGATGACTTAATGCTACAATAATGTGAGTGTTGTCTCGGGTAGATTTATTAAGACAAGGCTGGACATGCAGGAACATGAATGTAGGTTCTACAAACTTGTAGCATAAGATCAAGGTTGTGGCTCCACTTTCTCTTCCTCCGTGAAAGAAAGACATTGCACTGCCCTCTTAATTTATAGAGACATTGGTTAGACATTGGATCTGTATTTTGTATCTGCATGGATACAAAACCATTTATAACGACTGCCACTGCCCCACAGAGTAAAGAGTTTGAGAAAACTGAACTGAATGTTTTACAATCACTTTTCACCTGCAGATACCATGGGCAAGAAAAGACAAACAATTAATTAAGTAAAAAGCACAAAAAGCACCATTCTCCTAATGCAAATTCAGACTTTAGTTATCTATTGAGAACATTTAAATATGTATGAATACTGCGTCAGAGTTAGCACCAATGAACATTTAGATCTGTACTTTGATGTGATTCTATCCTTTCTTCTACTTTAATAATGTTGATTGTAACATCTCTCAGGTGTATTCTTTGGTGCCCTGTGTATTGGGATGGCAGGAATTGCTTCACTGATGGAAAGCATTTTGCAGGTAAACCTCTCCGACACCATGCACCAACAGTAGTGCAGCCATTTATTGCTCGACAGCACCACCAAGAGCTGAATATTGAGAACTACAAGGCTCCTGACGGTTTTCTATTTTCAGGCAGCTCTGTCCATATTTGGAATGATCAGTGGGCCTCTTCTTGGTCTTTACCTATTAGGCATGTTATTCCGCACACCAAATTCAATAGTGAGTATTTCCTATTGCTGGAACATTCACTGGCACAACTGCACCCTCTCATAACACAAAGAAAACGTACTAAAAAAAAACAAATGTGACACATACAGGAAGTATTTGACTGCAGTCATATTTACTTTGCAGGGAGGACTTGTGGGAATGATCATTGGTCTAGTGTTGACTCTGTGGGTGGGGATTGGAGGCCAGATTTACCCACCAACAGCTGAAAAGACAAATCCTCTCCCACTCAGCACTGTGGGTTGCAACAGCACCACGGGCCAAAACTATACGACGGCAGCTCCATGGACCAGTCCTGTGACCCTGCAGCCTGAGTGAGTCATGTTACATAAAATAAACGTCCATGATGCACATGATATGGTTAGAATAAATATGAATACTCTACTTAATGTAGCAAATGGATACAAAGTCAAAACATAATTCAAGGCTTTAAGCTGCCCTAAAAAAAAGATTTACTTGCATTTGCCAATTCATCATAAAAAGTAGAAACTTCTCAGAATAGATTTTGCTGACATGAAGCTAAATCAGAGTCCACAAACTTGAATAAGCAACCCACTGCTTTTCTGGACTACTTTTCAGACACAGATTTCTGAATAAATTCTGAAATCCAGTTGATAGGCGCAGTAATGAGAGTTAAAATCCAAATGCATAGAGAGAAGATCCAAAGACACTCAGACCTCCATGTTTAAGTATAAACAGTATATACATAAAACCTGAGCTGCGACTACTTTGATAATTGTTTCATTGTTTAGCTGTTTTATATAGTAATTGTAAACTGAGTATCTTTTTGTTGGACCACTGGTTAATAATTGAGAAAGAAATCAGCAGATTAATCAACAATAAAGATAACCGAAACTTGCAGCCCTACTTTATACAGCATATCACCATAAAGAAGTGGCAGAATGACAGGAGTATGACACCTACAATGATTTCCTTTGTGTGACAGTGTCAGGCCACCTCTGGCAGACTCCTGGTACTCTCTGTCCTACGTCTACTTTGCTCTCTTGGGTACACTGACCACAATGGTGTCTGGTCTGCTGGTGAGCATCATCACAGGTGAGATATTATTTCCTTACCTCTACTTCCACTGCAGAGGCACATAGACATGCTTGTGTGTTCTAAATGTTTAAATGTTAGAGTCTAAATCCACCATAAAACAGTTATTAATATATATTAATATTATATTATTTATTCCTTTTTAGGCGGATGCAAGCAAGAAAAATTGAACTCCGATCTGTTTGTGAAGAAGAGTGACCTGATCTGCTTTAGCTGGTGTGGTAAACCAGAGGTAAGAGATTGACCCTTTGGTTAGATAACTGGTAACAAAGTGAGTCCTGTTATTAACAGTCTGCTGAATCTTCTCTACAGGCATCAGACGTCACGGAAAAGGTGGCAACAGACTTTCATATGGAAGCTGACAACCCAACATTCACAGACTTTGACGTGATGAGTAAAGACGCTGAAAAAGCCACCAAACTGTAACGCTGCTGTATGAATACATTGTTCCTTCATGGAGACGTGTTAATGTATTTTTTATAAACACATAAATGACAAGCCACGATTGTTTTGCTGCTACATACCTGTGGTGCATTTAATTTGCAAAGACAAGTAATTGTATGTTCCTATTTATGTTGATTATGTTTCAAGCATCGTTCTAAAAGTGATATAACTGAATAATTTAAGATTTACTTGACAGAAAGGAAGAAGAGCTAGACAACGTGTAATACAGCTTGGCAAACTGAACTTGAAAAGGATGTAATTCAAATTCCAACACTTGCTTGCTTACGTGGCTATACGTGAGGTGCTTAAACAGAAAAAACAAATCCACAGTTGGACAATGTTCTACAACAGCTGGTGTTATAATTTAGTGCTTTACTTAAAGCAGGGAGTTTCTGCTGTTGTCCTATTCTTCACAATAAGGAAACAGCATTTAAAATAACACAAGGTCACCACATCTTTTACTGATTTTTACGGACTAATTGCGCTGCTCACATTTCCTGCTTAGCAGTGATGTGGCAACACTGTTTTGCTTTTATTGCCCTTTGTTCAATTGTTCTCTCTGATAGCGGTTACTAGCCCTATATTTCCTACCTGAACATTGTCCTCTGACGCAGACAGTCAACCTGCAATATTGTTTGTTGTTTTACAATATGTATATGGCATTACTGGTTTGAAGGAACAATGGCCATTGAATTTTAAGTATTTGTATACTGCCTTGTTTTATATGAAAATTGTACACTCTCTAGAGATTTCCTGTACCAATTAGTCACAAATTCTACTTCTCAATAAATACTTTGTAGAAGTTCAACCGTGTTGACTGAAAACACAGTGCACAAATTCAGCACAGAGAACATCAGTGAATGTATGACCTTCAAATGTAAGAGAGAGAGAGTACAGAACAAGGAATCCAAGAGAAATACATTAACTGTGTAGTTAATGTTCCGGCCATGCGGTGTCTACACAGGGTTGTAACATTCATTTGAACTGAGCAAGAAAGAGACAGACAGAGAGAAATTGAGCTTTGGTCTTGAAATAACCCTGCCCTTTGTCTCCTTGGCAACATACAATAGAGGAAGTTTACAAAGCACTGACCTGCCCACTTTTACCTGCCACTATGCCAGCAAATCAAGCCTTCAGCTATTTCAGGTTTGTAGGAAGTGGAGAGTCAGTCGTGACATGGAGGCAGGCTCACTGTCGGGGAAGTGAACTAAGTTACTATTTTCACTGATTCTAACAAAACAAGGTGAGCCTTTTTTAACTCAGTCTACAGCAATAAGTTCTGCAAAAGTAATTTAGTTCTTAATCAAGGTTTGGACTTTGCCAAGCTTTCACAGGATCGCAAGATGAAATGTGTTTCCATCGACTAACAACAAAAGATCCGAGCTGATAAGCATAAGTCGTGTTTAGTCTGGATGTAGTAATTTCCTGTAGATGTATGTACTTACTGTTGTAAGTAGATCTGAATGTAATCTTTGAAAACGCATTACATATGACCCACTTACAAAAGGCCTTACACCATGTTTACAAGCATTGTTTTCCCTGCGTTGCAGTGTGAGGGGCTCAGACTTTAGGTCTAAACTGTAAAACTATTAATAAGATGAAGGAAAACAAAGTGTTTTTACAGTGTTTATTTTAAGGAAGTGTTTTTCAGCCCATGTTTTGTTTCACAGTACAGGACCTAATGGCCATGGATACCTTTGCCACCTTGGCTTGTTGCCTTCTGGCACTTTCCTTTGCTGTGGCACAAACAGAAAATGGGAGTTTGACTACAATCACACCTACAATATCAACCCCTGATGTAAACCTGACACACACGACTACAATGGCATCTAACTCTACCGTACCTGTGACTGTTACCTCAAACTCGACTGACGACACGACTCCATTTACCAACAAGACCCACAACAATGAAACATTCACCAAAACTACAGCTGCTACAACGGAGAGCACAAGTCATCTCCAGACTTCTCAGCCAACAACCATCATGACTCCTCTGACAAATAGTACATCACTGACGAAGACAACACCGGGAAATCACACTCCAACATTTACTGCACCAACAACGCCAGCAATGCAGACGACAGAAGCTAACACAAGTACACCCGATACTACAGTAATTACAACTGCAAATTTGTCTCACACTGTCTACACAACCTCAGATTCACCGGACAGAAGCACACAAGGTAAGCACCGGGATTCTTGTTTCATTAATGATTAACCTACTTATTGTATGCTGCTATTTAACTCATATAAATGACTAATTGCTTCGTTTTTTACTGTGTTATTAGGTTTGCGTCTAAACATGTCAGAAAAGAATATGACTATTCTCTTCAGCGTTGTACTTGGAGTGTTTGCTATGGCCGTGGTTGTGTTCATGTTTCATCAATGCAAACAGAAAATCCAATACTTGCACCAACCTCTCAACAACACTGATGACACGGGTAAGGAGTTTCCTGTCATCATACAATCAATACAAATTATTTTGTTTGTTATTAGCAATTAAAAATACATAATAATCATTTATTAATTATATTTTCAACAGATGCATTTGTGGCAGGCGATGACACACTCGTAATTTCTGGAGGACTTTATGATGGCCATCCAATATACGACAATGTACCAACACCCTCAGCAGACCAATCTCAATTCCGCCTCGAGTTCCTTCATTAAGAAGAGAGTGTTCGTACACTTTGTGATCACCTCTGGTGCTCGACAGGCATGGACAATACAAATCATCCTCACCCGTTAATTAGTACAATTTCAAGACTGAAATGTCCCCACTGTGAAATTCAAATTCTTGATGAGACTAATGGCAGAGAGGAGGGGACAATGACGATGTACAAAACATTCAAACAAGGACGATGCTGATTGATTTGAACATTTTACTAATCAATGTCAATATTAGGATACATGAATATATTAAATTATTATATATATTAAGATTATAATACTTAACAACTACACCATTTGTGCAGAATTAATTACATTTCATTTGAAGTATTATTACACACAACACAATGAACAACAATAAAATACTGAAAAACATATGAGGTGTCTCTACAGTCACTTCTTCTTCCAAAACCCAAACAAACTGGAATATGAACACCTAAATCTTTAACAATACCGTTTAACTGAACTATAACAATACTTTCTATGCAAATTGAGAAATAAAGTTGCCTGTTGTTATTATAAATAAGTCTATTTTATCCCAAACATTACTATATATGCATGTTAAGAATGTTGAACATGAACATGAACGCCTTAACTTCTAAACTTGATGATGAACGTAATGACTGTTTATCTGACCTGTAACAGGACTATTTACGCAAAGATCTTCTCATTGGTCTTCTTCTTTTTCTGGTCACAGCCAGTAACAGCAGTCCAACCCGCATCTCTCATTCTTTTCATCGCAGCTAGCTTCAAGAGGTTTCCTGGTGATTTATTAGTGACAGGGCTCTGCTTCTGAAAAAGTGTGTATGCATTTTCATTAATGAATTGATTCCTCTTTGCCATATTATTATAAAAATAAAATAACACCACTATGGTTATTTTACCTTTTTGAAGATGTTGAGTTTGCAACGTGGAGCAGAAATATTGGGTGCGGGTGCACCTGTAAAGCTCTGTAAAAAAGAGGAACAGAAGACCAAATCAGCTCTCATGGCCATCTTGCACAAACGGTCAAATGAACAAAACTAACACAGGTTTATGATATTGTATTCTTCTGACAAATAAATAAAAAATAAAAAAAACCCTCAACCAATAAAAATACAACTCACCAAGATATCATTTTGATCTGAGCTGTCAGACTTGGGGTCAAGCTCTATGGCACTCTCTCTCCAGCGTGCTGCAGGATCAGAAGGGGGTGTCCTTATTCTATAAGACTGTGAGGGATTTCAAAGAGTAAATGTCAGCAAGTCATTAATATTTTTTATTCATTTTGAAAAATGTCAGAATGATACTGCGTATTACTTTGATCTTTGATGTTCCGCCAACCCTGTTTGTAGTTCTTCTTGGGGTTTTCAGGTCTTCATCGTGAATATCCTTTGATGAAAAGTCAATGTTAGTTAGAGTTGAATGAATGTCAGAGTCATTATACACGCTACAATAGTAGACAAAATCACATATATTAAATTCTATTGGTATACTCTACAGCCAGTCAACAATTACTTTATGAATAGATTAAATTGTCTACCTTGGTCTTTGGTGTTGTTCCACGTGATGTTCTGATGGATTCAGAGTCAGATTCCTTAACCACAGAAGACATAAAATGTTATTACAATTACATTTTGAGTATCATTCAGTAATAGCCTATAGTTACATGTTCACACTGCATTAATTCACTGTTGATTTACAGTACAGTGAATACTTAGAAATACAATTCTCCTACACATTAATGCAAATGAACACAAATACACAGCCTTTGCAGGCACAAGCATGCACACCAAAACCCCATCCTTTTATTTCTCTGCACATATTTTAGGTGAATAATGGTTAAAGGTAATAAACTGGCATCCTGAACAGGATAATGGTATGAAAGGAACAAACAGACAAGTTAATATACAATATCTACAGTATTTTACCTCAACCTCTCTTAAACATTAAAATGCAAAATAACTTATGACAACTTGATTATACGATGTCCAACTCACCCCAACAATTAAGAATGTGCCTGACATGACACAACTTGTTCAATCTGTCTAAAACCTTCTGGTAAATTAAACTTACAGTTTTCTTCGTAACTGCAGTTCTCCCATCATCTTTGCTGTAGGAGGGAGTTTTCTTGGTCCTAGAGAAGTCAAATATCTGTCTCTCTTTTGGAGTCTCTGAACACCTCCCCTGTTTGCAGTTTATGGCAGGTGACTAAAATTTGAAAATTAATTATTGGTTAAGTACAAGTGATGACAAACCACATCATCAGGGATAGCCCATTTGCTAATGTACAGGTTTTGTACCTGCTTCTTCATTACTTCTGGAAGCTGAGTGATTTTCATTGATGACATTTTTTTTTTCAAATCAGTTAGTTCCTTCTTCAGGTTTTCCTAATAGCAAAGAAAAGTGTTTCTCAAATAATTAAGTGTTTCTCAAAAGTTAAGTGCAAGCTGTTTCAATAAAAAGCTAAAAACCATCCAAGGACATACCTTCTCTGTCACTTGTGTCTTCAGCTGTATCTTCAGCTGATCATTATCGTTCTTATGCGTCAAGAGATCCAACTCCTGATTTTAGGTTTGGAAATGTCAAAATATAATTTATTCATAATCCAATTTACGTTAGTGAACATTGATTCATGATTTTTCTGCATCATACCAGTGATTTCCGATAGGCAACAACCTCCATCTCTTTCTTCTTGTTCTCAGACAGCTCTGCATCTTTTTCCTCAACCATTCGGTCATACTGGCTCTGGTAATAACAAGTCATGTTGACAGTCATGTTTCAGACAGCAAAACATACTTCATGATAACCTTACCTTATGTTTTTCCATCAGTGCAACCATATCTGCTATCTTGTGTTGACACTTGAGTTCTGTATCTTCCTTTTTCTTAATGGCCTCCGTTGCTGTTGTTCTGAGCTTTTTTACCTGTAAGACAGAGTTTCTTTATTCAGTTCTTCTTTATTCTTAAGAGCTAAAAATGTGGTAAGTAACATAACGTTATATAAGTAACCTCATTGTCAAGCTCTGCCGCAAAGATTGATTTGGACTCAAGATCCTTAAGCAATTTCTGATGGTCTTCCTCATTCAGTCTTTTCAAGTTTTCAGACTCCTTGTGAAGACTGTTGATCTAAAGACAAAAAGAACCATCTATCATACAGGGCTATACTTATGAGTTTAAATCTTTCATATCAATATTAAGTACTGGAAGATTTAAAAAAAAACATAACACCATACCACAATTTCAAGTTGACTGGATTTTGCAATTTCCTTTGCTATTTGTTTGTTAAGCTTTTTATTCTGAAAATATAATAAAAGTGAAATGTTAGCTAAATAAATAACAAAGCCATCCTATTCTATATTTACAGTTCTATAGTCCTCACAAATACCTCTTTCTGGCATTCCTCCTGGGCTTTAAGTTTGATTTCAATTTTTTTCCTGAAATTGCAGAGCTAAAAACAAAAAAAATTCTTGTTACTTGCAGGAAAATAATTAGCAATAACAGAACTGTCAATTTTCTGTTTTACAATCACCTTTGTTTCCACAGCTTTTATTTGTTTTTCTTTTTCTGCAATTTCCTTCTGCTGATGTTCACACTATACACAAAATAACAAATAAATCAGTATATATTACTTTCAGAACAACATCTTTCTGAAGCCTTGTGTCGTTATTGATAAATGATTAAGTTAGCATACTTACATTTTCTTCCATTTTCTTCTGCAGAGTCTCAGCTTCCTGATATTCCCCTTGGATTTTGGTCTGAATAGAAGTTATTTCCTCTCTATTTATTGGAAATATAAAAATCAAAAACTAATCACAATCTAAATCTAAAGTACACAATGTCAAAACTCTTCAGGTCTCTTAACTGTGAACTCACCGTAAACATTGGTTTTCTTTTTCTAGTCTTTGAATTTCGCTTGTGAGCTTCACCGCCTTCTCCTCACTTGCCTGAACAGTTATATTTGTTATTCACATGATACAATGAGTAATAAAACAAAACTGGCATCTAACGCAAACAGCCACTGTACACATGAAAATGATCTATCACATTTAATTAGATAATTCAGACCTTCATGTTTGCCTCAATAGCCCTCACAGTAGAAGATCCACTCTTAAACTGCTGTTGAATGGCTGTCTTCTCAGACTGCAGCGCATTAAAGTTGGATAACAGCTCTTTGTAGTGTACTCTTAAAAATGACACATATTTAACATTAGACATTAAGATTATAACACTTTAATATAATATTCTACTTTATATGCTCAGTGAATGATTGGCTATTAAGAACTTACTCATGCTGCATAATGTCTTTCCTCAGTTGCTCCATCTCAAAGGTGTGTTCTTTGTTTTTCTTCATTTCAGTAAACAACCGTTCCTCCAGCTCCTGCACTTTGGTCTGAGGGAATATTAAAATAAACATAATAAAGCTATGTATTGTATATAATACACATATCTCTGAATATTTTTATAAAAACATTTTCCCCAAAAAGGTGTAAGAATGAGATGATGAATGTAGCAAGAAAATAAAAATCATGTGAAAACCCCTGTCACTGTGGACATCTCCTTTAAATCTTCCATAGCCTTTTCAGCAGATTCACAAGTCTTCTTCAGTAGATCATTTTCAGCAAAGGCAACCTCTGCTTCATTCTGTATCAATAAAAAATGGAAGAAGTTAGAGCATACATTTCACGTATCTGTATTAAACTATTATTTTTCCCTCTGAGGTGAGGTATCTATTTATATCACCTTTAATAGCTGGGCTTCTTTAGTTTTCCTTGAAAGCTCAGCTGTGAGTTCCTCCACTCTGACTTCAGTGACATCAATCTTACCCTTCATGGACTCAAAGGATTTTGAGTTTCTGTCCTAAGAACAATAATAGCATACCAAGAGTGTCAAGTAATCTTCTGTAGTGTTCAGACTACAATGTATGTCATAGAAGCAAAGAATATACTCCTCTAGAAGATTAAAATACACCTTACCAGTTCATCTTCAAGGAATTTGATCTGCCCATCTTTCTTTGCACTCTCCTCCATGGTCTCTCCTGTTGGGTAAAAGATTTTCTTTCAGCCTGACAGCAGAAAACAAAAATATCTACAAATTTCACTCAGTGAGGCTTACCTAAAAGTGTGCTCCTTCTTTCAAGTTCCTTGCTGTTTGCCATGAGTTGATCCTCCAGTTCCTTGGTCCTTGAAAATAAGTCATAACCACAACATAACGGCATGAGGAAACATTGTGATGGAACAGGACAATGCTATGAATGTTCAGGAGTTAATTATACCTCTGTATCTCTAAAGCAAGTGAATCCTGTAGCTCTTGAACAGTTGTCTGAATCTGCTCCAACTTCTCTGCTTGTTGATTTTTAACTCTGCTGAGCTCCTCTAAGTTTAAGTCTTTGCTTTGAATAATCTCTGCATATTCTTCTTTACATTGTTCCAGCATTGCAGCAACAGCTTCACGATTTTTCTGAGGGAAAGAAAACATTTTAATCAAAGCAGACAGAACACAATAGAGCAGAGTTTCACTGAAAGTGTCAAGGATTTCGACACACTCACCTCAGTTTCCTTACAGCGCTGCACTGCAGTGTGCAGTTCTTGAAGAAGGGATTCCTGTTCAGTTTTTGAACTTTTGAGAAGTTCATATTGTTCATCTGTAAGTTAAAACATACTTAATGATATTATCTTTGCTATAGTTTTCTTATTACAAAGTGTCATAATACTGCTCACTGAACTCACACTGGAGAAAAAATAAAAAAAATATATTTTAGAATTCCTCAATAAGGCCTACTTTTGCCACTTTTATTATAATTTTTGCGACATTGCACACAAAATGAAATACACAAAAATAATAACTATTATGTCATTAGTAATAGTTTAGATAATTACTTTAGAATTCGGTTTGTCTGTTGATTTCACAATCAAAGTGGTTGTAACGTATAAGATAAAACCAAGATAACCTAGTCATGTGTTCACGCTGTCATTGGCTTGCCAGAGGAGAATTTGATTATCACTTTAACTTGATTATTTTTCAATCAAACCTGATCGGTCTTTGGACATTTGTATAGCAATGTTTAGCAAAACATTGTTGACAAAACACTGAATGTTGTTTCACAAAAAAAAGAAAGAAACAAGATTTATATAAAGCTATAGATATGTTATCTTGAAATTGAATAATGATCTCACTTGTTGCTTCTTGAAGCTGTTTGCAGTGCTTTTGGGTTTCATGGATGTCAAGCAGGATTTTTTGCAGCTCACTTTCCTTATCCTTGAGTTTTGTTTGAAGCACTGCAACCTGTGAACGCAGTAGCAATCCTTAAGCTGTTTCTAAACTTGTGGTTACATTCATTTCCCAAATAAATGTGTCTGATATAAAACCTTTATTTTACTAACCTCTTTCTCTTTCAAGTTATATTCTTGACGATATTTCTCTTTTAGATCGTCAAACTGCAGCAAGCCCTCTTTGACTAGAAAAAGATAAAATGGTTAATTATGTTGCTGGTGGACATGTTCTCTTGCTTGTTAATGTATCAATAACTCATCTATGTCATTTAAGGCATATTTTATCCTTCATGTTATTTTCAGAATTGGAGTTACTGTTACTGTACTGTTGTGTTGAGCCTAGTAGTCACACACAAAAAAAGAACAAAACCTTTATGCATCTCTTGTTGATCAGCTTCTGCTTGAAAACGAAGGCTTTCGAGTGCTGCAGTTAGTTTCTACAGAAAAAAAGAATTATTTGTAAACTGTTCATTAAACTTCATGTCCTACTGACCCCCTACTGACTAACCCCTATACAAAAAATATTATTAATAAAACAAAACTTAATTATGATATAGATTTAGAGGTGTTTTACCTGAATACTTTCACTATTTTCCATAAAGAGGTGATGTGTTTCTTCTCTTTCAGATTCAACTGCAAAATGTAAAGACTGGTTATTAATGTGTAATTATTTTCCACACCATAATATGGCTCTTTCAGACATGTATTTTAACATAAAAATTTAAAGCACTTTTTACTTACATAAATGCATTTTGTCAGCTGACCTCTGGAAAGTATCTTTGAGGATATTACACAAGTTCCTTGTTGCATTGTTTCTGGATATAAAATGTTGAATTTCATATTAGCAAAATATTTTATATAGACAAAACATTTATATTTCAAAATCAGATGACCATGTCTGTCTGGCTTTCACACATCACATCTAGTATGTCTCGGAGCCCTTTTGAACAAATAAAACTCTTACTTGTTTCTCAAATCCTCATTTTCACTCATCTGTTCCTCGAGCTTTACACTGAGACTTTCATTTCCAAACTGTAAAGACAGAACACACACAATTGATACCACTACAGATATGAAAGGGTATTAGAGTATGCTGTTCCTCTATTATAAATAATCCTTTAATAAAAAAAGAATACTGTATGTATTTAGAGAGAGTGAAAGACACATAAAAAAAAATATGTCAACGTGGCACACACCTGCAATTCTTGAATGGCTTTGCGCTGAGTTTCAATTGTTCTTTTGTTTTCTTGTAGTCTCCTTTCCTTTTGCACAGTATCAGTGTCAACTTCGACCTTCCAACACTTAATTTTCTCAACTTCATCAAACAGCTTGGAATAAAGCTGTCCAGGATTGGTATTCTTCTGGGGAATTTTCACAATGATGGGAAGTAAACTGACATACTTTACAAAAAACATGCTGCAAAGACCAAGTCTATCCTATTCATGCTTCACGTTTTTCTACAATGGAAAATATTACCTCATCTTTTTCCATTGGTGGCACGACTTTAATCTTGGAGAACTCTTTAAAGGAGAAACAATAAAACAATTTATCATAAGGTTTATGAAACATCTTTGTGCTGAAAGTACGGAGCCAATGTTGTTTAGCAGAAAATACCTTGTCTGGTTGGTTTAGCTGGTGCAACCATGCTGGTACTGGGGAAAGGCATCTGCTCTGTGTCAAAACATTTACTGTAACCCTAGAGGAAAACAGCAATTATGCTTAGTCATCATATGTATTAATGAAGACTACACCTGCCTCCATTCATTAATGTGTTTAACTTACAGCGAGGAAAACAATGCCCACAAGAGTGCATACTGTATAAGACTATATCTGGTAAAAGATGACTAATTATTATGCTGTATGACAGTGTCAGTGCTGAGCTAGCATTAAAGTGTTTTGCCTTTACTTCATTTATTATTTACCGTTCATTAACTATTGGCTAATTTAACTTACCTGCTGCAATGTATTCATGAAATCACCACAATTCTTCACGATTTCCTGAGGTCGAACAGCAGATACCTGTCCATTATTCACCCTGGGAGGTACTAACAGTTTGAAGTTAAAACTCCTGTCTCTCTCCATCCTGAAATGACCACACACATACAGCTTCTTTATTATAAACTAATGTCTGCTGTGGAAAAGACATTCAGAGCCTTTACTGAAGTAAAAGTACTAAATAAAAGTACTTCATTTAATTCCACACTACGAAAATACTCCACTAACGTTACAATATAAAGTTTTACTGAATGGAAATAAGGTTACTCAAGTTGCGATACTTAGAATTTGTTACCTAAAGTAACGTTAAGTAATGTTACAGTATTAGCAGTTAAATGTGCTTAACATTAACCTATTAATAGCTAAGTAACGTTACTTTCCACCACTGAGTAATATTAGTTTACTGAGCTTGAATTGTAACGTTAATGACAAAGTGAGACTTTATTTATTTATTTATTTTTTTTAAAAGTATATAACATTCATAATAGTAATAATAATGTCAGACAACCTTCACATTATTGCATTATTGTTGGCTAATAGGTCAACTAACAGTTAACGTTAGTTTGATAAGAACAATTCAGTTTAATGTTAGCCAGTTAAAGTTAGCTAACGTTAACTTAACTTAGCTCAACGTTACTGTTAGTTAACCCACCTTCAGTAACTCCTTGGCTACCAGGCATTAAAACATTTAGGTTAACGTTGTCACGACGTTAATGTGGCAGACAGCAGCCGGGTAGTTACTTAAGTTAATACTTATATAAATACAACACTTACATATCGATGGTAATGTTGAATAACAACCTTTTAATAAACGGTCAATGATATCAACCGTTTACTGCACCTAACGGCTGTTTAACGGCTCTTCAGCATCCAGTGCGGGGGGGGCGCGAGGACGTCAGTTGTGTGTAACGTCACGTTAACGGTTTATTTCAAACGGCCAACAGGAAGATTAATGTAACTCAGACGGGCCGAAATACACAACGAAAACCATGAATATATGGATACTACTGTGTGAGGTGGTGCATAAAGGATGCAAATTAACCCGGGAAAATGCCAAATTATGAAATATTGATTTATGTTTTCCTGTAGAGAAACCCCTGTTGAGTTACCGTTGATAGTCTACATCTCTCTGTATGGTTCACTAGCGGAACTTGACCTTTGCAATATGGCGACCGCGCAGACGCATAGGGGAGGCACACAGCAGCGGCCAATGGGGTATCTATATTTCTAACTTTATATCTATGGATTTCAACCATTGGCAGTATATTTCAACTGCTCACAAGTGGTCGTGGGACTAAAAGTCTGTTTGTCTGTTAATAATAAATAACTGTCCCAAATATATATATATAGTTATTTAACAGTAGCCTATATGTAAGATTAAGATAAGTCAACCCGAAGGCCTTCAGGCAATCAGCCAGAGAGATAATAATTCATAATCATAAGTTCTGAAAGGAAGAGTCAAGCCATGCAACTAGAAATGAATCAATAAAGCCTCCCTTTTACCTCCTGTTTGGTTTGGTTATATGAACAGGACATGCATTATTCAAGGGAAAATGAAATGAAAACATGTGCAATCATCTCTGTCCCTGAAATTCAGTACAAGTCTATTAAAAAGTAAAAAATAAAATAAAGAGTATCACATGGAAAAAGAGTAAACATGATGTTTGGAACATTGCTTTCTATTTTGATATGAAGGACCAATGTTCAGGTCCTTTAATAGCACTACAGGCTCGACCTGAGCAAGCTACTTCTACCATGACTACCCTCTCTAAAAGACATTAGTCATTATTGTAACAACCAAAATAGGAATAAATTGTGTTTAGAAGTGGAAAACAAATGCCTTCCAAACTTTGTTATAGAATTAGTAAAACTTAGTTCATATTAGGCAAGAGATGGGCCGGTGGGACTATTCTTTGATATACCCCATTTTATTAAACGTATTAATGTGACAAGAGAAAAAAAACATGTTGATTAGTGGTGAAAAGCTCTTTCCTACTTTCATAGTAAGCCCTGACTCTGCTGGTTGAAAGTCTGTTTCGGTTTAATGAGAAGTTCTGTATTGTGCTGATTTGTATCTTTGAAAACTACCAACAATAGGTTATAATATTCAACCAGTGAAAAACAATGTCAGAGGTTATTTCTGTCTGCTATTAAGCCTGCTTTGTATTGTGTGAGGGGGCCTGTTATTGTTTTCATTTTTACTGTGGTTGTTATAAAATCGCAAGAGCATAATTTGATAAAATGAGTTAATGCTGTGGAGGCGTTTATTTTAATAATCATAATACAAGTGTCACAAATGACTATACCGTAAATATAACAATGCACTTCCTCTATCCAGTTTGCTTTATAAAGGACAAATTACACAATACCGCTGTAGTTTCTGAGAAAAACAGTCTAGTGCATCTCTAAAGAAATGTTAGGGTTATCAGATTTATGAGAAACACAGAATACAGTTCAATACAGATTCTTGCTATATGACAGTTTATTAGATTTTCTGGCATGTGTTCAATATACAGTAACTTGCAGTCAGTGGCACGTTTTCTTATCATGTGAATACACAAAGCTATGCAACAAGGTTTAATGATAATTTCCATCATCTGTCATCAAAAATGAAAGATAAAAACATGTTTAAAACAGAAATTTAAAATTTGTATGAATATATTTGTGGAACATACAATAGTGGCACCAAAGATATTTTCAAACCTTCCAAAACTGCACAGTGCTATCAGGTCCTTGTAAACAGGAAAATGTCTTAGGAAATGTTTTAGTTAGTTACACACTTTCACAGAGAATGTTTGCGGACTTGTTTTCACTGAAAAATAACTTTAATTATCTGATGGTACATTTTAGAAGGTTAAAATACTATAAATGATGTGCTGCAGAGAAAGTTACAGAGAGGTTATTGTGATACAATCTGAGATTTAAAACATAATATCCTAACAATATAAGCGACATAAAATCCTAAACAAACACATATAAGAGTCCCTATAAGTTTATTAGAGGTATTTTATGTGGATTGTTTCATTAGAGTTAAAAGGGATTTAATAGATGTGTAAAAGTTTCACATCGAGTTGCAAGTGATGTTATGAGGCTATGATTTTTGTGGTGGTCTTCAAAAACAATTATTAAACATTTTGTGTTTAATAATAAGAATGCTTATCTGCTGTCCTATTTTTCATATACATGCACCTCAGAAATAAACAAAAATGTAACTTAAAGGTCTTGTGCGTAAGATTTAGGAGCATCTACTGGCAGAAATAGAATATAATATCTGTAGATATGTTTTCATTTGTGTATAATCACCTGAAAGTAAGGATCATTGTGTGTTCATTACCTTAGAACGAGACGTTTTTATCAACAAAGGGAGTGAGCATGTCCTCTTCTATAGAGTCCACCATGTTTCTACAGTAGCCCAGAATGGACAAACAACACTTTCTCTAAATAGAGCAGGGCCTTTCACAGTTTTCATGAGTTTTGTGGCCACCGTAGTTTCTAGGGTGAGACGATGGGGGGTTATAATCTGCAACTACACCGCTAGATGCCCCTGAATCCTACACACTGGACCTTTAACATAGTACAGAATATTAGACAGTGTCTTCTGTGTTCCCAGCTTCTGCCACCTCCTTAGCAGCACTGCCCCTGCTGAACTTTTGTTCTCTACCACCCACCCTGGCCTTCCTCTCCTCCTCTTTTTTCTCTTTGTCCAGCAGTCGATAATTGAGTCCCATCCCTGCGAACAGGAAGACACTGGAGACGATGAGGAGGATCCCACAGCCCTGGTATGTGTACTTGTAATCATGATAGATGTCTTTGAACTTCCCTGTGAAGAAAAAAAAACAGTCACGTTGCATCATTTTTTAGTTTCTGTCAATATTAAGCTGTGGTAAAACTACACAGAAATAAATTTAAATTAGACTACGTTCACACTGCAAATCTTAGCGCTCAAGATTTATTCCTCACTTTTTTTTTTTGATTGTCTGTTCACAGTATTTTTAAAATGTGGCCCATATCACATTCTGGTGTGAACAGGTCACAGTCCTTAAGTGTCCCGCATAATAAATGTTGATCTAGAGTGAGATTAAAGTCACATTAATTCTCATATGACTGTTCGCACTCAGATTGCAAAAAGTCAGACCTATGTTTGAGTTGGACCCCAAATCATAATTGAAATGATCAGATTCCACATTATTTATGCTGTTTACACTGTTGTTGGCATTATGGGCAAAAAAAATCAGATTTGAGCCGCCTTCAGTGTGAACGTAACCTTGGTGACAGTGAACTAATCTACTCACCAAGCAAAGGGGGCCCCAGCAACACAGGACCACACTCCACAATAGTGACCAGCCCAACAGCACTGGAGAAGCGCTGAGTTCCCACCAGGTCCATCAAGGTCTCAAACAGCACTGAGCTCAGCCAGCCAAAAGCAAACCCAAAGAAGATGGCATAAATCACAAAGCCTTTGTAGTCTACTGATATTGGTGCTAGAACGTGGCAAACACCGTTGTACAGCACAGACGCAGCAAAGAAGTACTGTATTCTGGGCCGTACCCACTTGGTGTTAGCCACAATGCCCATTGAGGGCCGGGCAACCATGTCAACAAAAGCCAGCACAGACAGTAGGAAAGCTGCTTTCTCTTTAGGGATGTCTTTACTCTTTGCATAATTACTGAGGAACACCAGTGGTGCAAAGAGACCAAAAAACATGATAATATTGCCCATAATATAGAGCAAAAAACCACGGTGCTTGAACAAAGAGAGGTCGATAAAGCTGTTAATGGTCTGTGATACAGTCCTCCTCTCTGTGGTCTTCTCTGCAGGTTTGGGTTTTGGTCCTATAGGCCGCATGAGGGAACCGGCGACACAGCAGTTGAAGAGGAGGCCACCCAGGATCAGGAAACTTCCTCTCCAGCCAAACTTGTCAAACAGCCAGGTGTTTATAGGAGCCATGGTGGAGAGAAAGACAGGGCTGCCAGCCATGGCAATCCCATTGGCAATAGGCCGCTTATTGTAGAAGTACTTTCCGATCATAGTGAGGGCAGGGTTGAGGTTGAAGGCCAATCCCAAACCTAAAATAATCAATTTAGGAAAAAGTATAAATGTATGAGTTGGAAAATAAGGATTTGAGCATTAAACAGTGTTTGGAGATTCTAAGTATTTTTTGGTGTTTTTATTTTTGAAAAACACTAGGTGGCAACAGTGTGCAGTAAAAAAAATATGTGACTCATGACCAAACTTAAAAATATAAGACAGTTAAAATTAGGTACCTCCCACCACACCAATACAAAAGTATAGTGCTTGAACAGAGTTGCAGAAAGAGGCAGCAATAAGGCCCAATCCAGACAGACATCCTCCCGCCATCATAACAGGACGACTCCCATATTTATTAACCAGGATGCTGCTGATAGGACCTGAAGAGCAAAAAAACAATACAATGCACATACACACGTTAGAAGCTGAAAGACAGTGATTTCTATCCAAACATCAATGCACAGTTCTATATTTAACCACCAGAGAGCTCCAGTGCCACAGCTGTGTCTCAGCAAATTCAAACAACTTCTGCAATCATCTTTGTCAGTGCTGCACTGCAGTGGATGTGTTCTCATGCCATTAATAATGCGATCTGTCAGAAAAACCATGAAAGTCGTAATGAAATAAGCATTTATTTGGCTCAGGGATTCATAAAAATTGACAGAGGAATAATTTGTTTGTGGATTTTTCTTAAATGGACTTTAAACGCATTTGAAATGATTATTGGAAGTACCTCTGTTCAGACAAATGTATAAGTGTGTGTGTGTTTTTTTGGGGGGGGGGAGTAGAAGGGACTGGTGTGTGTGTATAGGGTTAAAAC